ATTGCTCATCTCCTCCTCCTCTCCTCTCCCCCTCCTCTCCCTCCCCCCCCTCACTGATTTCACTCTCTGCATGTTGAGGCTTCCTTAGGTGCCTAGCATTCAGGATCTGAGAGCCATGCCCTCCACACCCAGCTTTCCTACTGCTCACCAGCAAAGGGCACTTTGGGGGGTTTGTCTCTTTGGGGGTGTCTGCCCACTGTCCTGTCCTTGTGACTGGCTCCCACCTCCCAGCTACCCTTTGTTGGAGGCTTCAGACTTCAGCTCTGTCCACAGCTTTCCCGCCGGGCCATTCACTTCCTACAGTGTCTGTGACTCTGGCTTTGGTCCGCTTTCTGCCTCCAGGCCTGGACCCATCTTGTCCAGTGTGTAGCTGGCATTGCCTTAGAACTTGGACTGAAGGTAAAGAAAGCAGAGAGTCAAGGGGCGGCCCTCAGGCTCTGCCCTGGCTGTGAGCAGCACGGTCTCACATTGTGTTGCTGGATGGTCTTACTGCTCAGGCAGTGAGCAATTGCCAGCGTCCCACCCTGAGCACAGCAGGGTCCCTGCTGGGTCTATGCAGAGGGGCAGTTCAGCCAACTGTCACTAAGATGACCATATGGTTCTACAGGAGACAGAAGCCATGAAGAGCAACAGTTACTCCATGGTGGCTCATCAGGAGGGGTGCTGGAGTGAGATCTTGGGGAGTCATGGTGCTTGCAGTGTATGAGCAAAGGCCCTGGTTGCTGGTGAAGTCAGCTCTGGGGAGGCCTGAAGCAAGACCAGGCTATATCTGGGCAGAGCTGCTCAGTAGTTGGGCTCATTCAAAGGCGCCAACAGAGTAGTTTTCAGTGGGGACATGCACAGTGGCCATGCTAGACGTGCAGATGACAAGAGGGCAGGAATGTGCACTGCCGAGAACCATGTGCCTTCCCCGCCTCCCACAGCCTCTCTGCCTTTCGTCACCCTTACCTTGGTGAATGCACCATATAAGCGAGGGTTCTACTGCGGAGATGACTCCATCCGGTACCCATACCGTCCAGACACAATCACCCATGGACTCATGGCTGGGGTCATCATCACAGCTACTGTCGTCCTGGTAAGGCAGAAAAGGGCTTGGGTGGGGGATGGGCCAGCCCCACAGCAGGATGGGCACCGTGGGAGCTGTGTTTGCCTAGTGCTCTGTGACCGTTCCATCGGCAGGTCTCATCAGGGGAGGCCTACCTGGTGTACACAGACCGTCTCTATTCACGCTCTGACTTCAACAACTATGTGGCTGCCATCTACAAGGTGCTGGGAACCTTTCTGTTTGGGGCTGCTGTGAGCCAGTCTCTGACCGACCTGGCCAAGTACATGATTGGCCGTCTTCGACCCAGTTTCTTGGCTGTCTGTGACCCTGACTGGAGCCGAGTCAACTGCTCTGGCTACGTGCAGCTGGAGGTGTGCAGGGGCAGCCCTGCTAATGTCACCGAAGCCAGGTGGGTATTGGCTGCAGCCCAGGCGAGGCTCTGATGGACGGGAAGCCTGGGGCATGGAGGATGGAGATCTGTCCACAGAGGCAGGCAGAGGAGGCAGCCACGGCTCTCCCTCTGCATCTTTGGCAGGGCAGGTATGCAAGTGGGCAGTTCATTTGTCTGGGAGGCCCTCAGGGGTGGGTGATTCCTTCCTGTGCCTTTGTAGCACGTGGGGAATCTGCTGTGGGCAAGTGAGCTCCTGCTTCTTTAAGCTCTGATGATGAGCTTGTTTGCAGTGAGCATTGCTTCTCTTCCTGGTGTCCTGCTCATCTGGGCCCCCACTGTTCATTCTTGGCATGGGCTATGTGCCGTGCACCCTGAGTGCCAGGGTGACCGGTCTGTAACACCATGACCGGCCTAGGATGTCTTCTTGGCTTCTGTCCCTTTCTTTATTCTTCATGTATGTTCTCATCTCTGGACGTTTCAAGTGACTGGTTGCGTGTCCTAAGCTTGGTGCTGTGTCTCCTCATGGATTGCTTTATGTGTTCGTGCTTGTGTGTCTACATATGTTTGCGGTCAGTGGCGTCTTCCTCAATTGCTCTCAAATATATATATACATAATCACTCAGGAGATGGAGGCAGGAGTTTGAGGTCATTCTGGACTACATGGCAAAATGCCGTCTCAAAAATCTAAAAGTGCATTATGGATGGAAAAATGCCAATAGTATTCAAAGAGGAGCTGGAAGCCCT